GGAAGCTTAAGAAGCTGAGGAGGCTGGGGTGTGCCGTGCTCACGACACTGCGGCGCAGGCCCAGGCCATCGTGGGAACGCAGGATTCACCACGGAATCATACTTGTAATTGAGTGGCTTCTTCATCCACAGCCCCGCCAGCTGCTCAAGGGGTACGAACACCAGAACCTCCCCGAGGAAAGGCTCCTGCCACACCGCCTCCAGTGCCAAGGCCAAGATCTCCACCTCGTACAGAGCTGCCAACAAGATCGTATATGCTGCTCCACGTAATGGTGTACCACAGCCTCCAAGATATCTCCTCTACACTCGTGGCGAGCCAAAGGTGGAGGTTATAAAGAACTACATCCCGGTGCTGTGCAACGATGTGTTTTTCATACAAGATAAGGAGAGCTATCACTCTTCAGCTGGATGTGCTGGGTTGAGGCACCTCACCAAATCCCGGTTGCGACGACAACTGTGCCACTTTTGCTTGGAGAAACATCAAGCCGCAGCTCGTGGCACATGAAATAGCAACTGCAACATGGCGATTGCATTGAGGAGGACTGAAGATATCTGGTGATGGCATGCGACAGGCGCACGCGTGTGCATGTGGATCAACGGGAAGGCTACGGACATAAGCCCCTTTTACCATGATAATGTATAGACTTTTGAGCCATGTTGAAAAAGATGTAGCACCATACATAGTGCAGGGCACATGTAACCCGGAATGGAAGTTCCGTCATACTTTAGCACTGTAGCATAGCTTCGAATCTAATTACTCGTCGCTGTTGCAGTAAAAGTACGTGTTCTGAGCGTGCAGTGGTTGCAAGCCTGTGAGCTGGGCCTGAGAGTGTCAAGCCTTATAACACACCCATCATAATCTCCGATATATCCCCCTTTGAGGGGTTTAGATTATGTTCATCTGAAACTTCGGATTCAGCAGCCTTTCGGATTTGCAGCACCACGCAGAGTCATCGCATCCCTTCCCCTGTGGCCTCAAACCATGGCCGAGCTCAGGTCACTTGGAGGATTTTGTGCTTGTGTTGAGGCTCCAGGGATGAGGGAAGGTATAATTAATGGAGAATCACATGGAAAAGAACATGGAACATGAGATGACGATAGGGAACAGTTCTGTAATAATGGTTCACAGGGTTTGACGTTAGGTGTGGGAAAAGAACCAAAATTCTAGGCCATGCAAGATTATACAGTCCCTCATAACAATTTTTGTGGATAGCACGTGTGTTGCGTAGTGAACCTAGCTTGGGTGACTTTTCTGGGCTTTGGATTCCGAGCAACGTTTGGAATCTTTCAAGTTTCAGGTTTGAGACGCAAACATATACCCGTGTGGTTTGAACGACCAAGTTCAATCAGTTGACTGACCTATTCTTCAATGTTGAAGTTGAGAGTCTTAAGACATCGAATGCTGAAGTTTTTTTACAGAACATGGCCTCGCATTTACGGATGTGATGCTCAAGTTTGAACATCATGTTGTGTAGGCGGTCCCGGGTATTTTTGGATTCGTTCATGGAGTTTGAACACAATGGATGCTTTGTGGGCTTGAAATTAGTTGTTTTGTTGTACTCGCGTTATAGGGTTCGTCATTGAGACGATGCATGTGGTTGTCACAATGCATAAAATTGACCAGCAAATCAGCTTTATTGATTGACTCTTCGTGAACCCGCTTGTAATACATGGCAAGCAGTCAAAAGGCCGGACATAATCATTTGGAATGCAACAAGGAGTTAGTATGCATAAGGCTCACATGGTATAGTCTGCATCATGGGTACCCCCAACAATCGGAAGCCATAAATGGGTTCTTAATAACTTGTGTGTATAGTTGAAGAAATCTCGTTTGAGTGCTTGATGGTTTTTACCTTGAGGATATATAGCGTATTCTAGGGATGAAATAGCGTAGGTGAAAAGGGTTGCGGTGTTTTGTTGCTTATGAGTTATGAACCCACAATATGAACCTGAAACCTCAGTTCTTCAACACGAAGCCATACCGAACCCCAACTTCAGCTTCAAGACCCAAACTTTAGACACGAATGATGTAATATTAATAGTTATATGGTTTTTTTCTGGGCTATATAGGGGTTATTCCAGAGGGCTAATGGAAAAATGGAAACCAGTATATTATAGGGTTAATCTTTTGCATATATATATATATATGTCTAAATTTTTTCAAAAGCTGCACTTCAATCGTCCCCCCATGCCACATAAGGTCTGAAGAACACATTGTCGCGGGCAAGTTGCCTTGCGATTTCCAGGCTGCGACGTTTATGTGCGGTTTTTCCGAAAGCATGGTTGTCTTGCAGGAAGGATGTATCGTACTTATCAGGTTTCGGGAGCCCACTTTTTTGAATCAGTGGTTGTGCTATGTGGGCAGGTTAAAAACCAATGGTTACGAATTCGACATACAATTGCATGTGATCTTGAGATACTGTTCCACCGTTCCCGAACATATTTTACACGCCTGCTGGTTGCATAGTTTTGAACAGTTTTGGTCCAAGACAAAATGTCTCCCGCCAATGTATGTACTTGGCACTGTTTTGAGCAAGGGCCGTCTGCTTATCGGACATGGATGGCTGCTGGAGGGCAAGGCTATATCTATCCAGTCTTCTACGTTACCTACTCCCATTTACTTCTTCTACAGTCCCACGTCTCATCTCATCTTTCGTTTGCTTTCCATTTAATTTTTACGGTTGGTAAATCCCAAGCACTAAAATCCTCAAGCCCCACTGAAGGTGGATCCCCAGACCGGTATGCCTCCACAAGGCCTGAAATCTTACAAATGTGAAACGCCTCCATCCACTGTCACCGAATCCCTGGCTTAAGGCCCTTAACATGGGCCCCTACCTGGGTTCTAAGTATGGGCCGTAAATTTTGGGTTGCTGGGTATACTAGGTACCCAAGCTCAATGGTCCATGCCGCTGTAGGCCACAGCCCAGGGATAGTCTAAGCTGCACATCAAAGCTTGGCCGTGTGACCAAAAATCGAAATCGTTTAAAGGGCCTTGGCGAGGCGCTGCTGCCGGGCCGCATCTCATGCGGGCATTTTCGCAAATTCGGGCCCTGGACTCCCAAAACAGGCTTCCCGAAATTTCATTTTTTTTTGGAAGTTTGGTGTTTATAGCTCCGCAGCTGGATAGGCTTTTACGTCAGTAATGGGGATAGCATGCAGATAAATAGGCTCATGATCTGGTTTAGGGCGATGTTGCAGTATACTTATGCAGTTCCCCCTACATCATCATATTCTATTTATTAAAGGGGGACTGTAGGCATACTTGCTCAGCCTCCCCAACCCCCCAATCCAAGCAGCGAAGCTGATGAATTGCAACATGGCAACCCTCAGGTTTGCAGCAGGCTCATCTTTTGTGTGTAGTGTTTTATCTGGGAATACTATACGCCCTACTATAAAGGGTTTAGGGTTTAGGGTTAAGATTCTATAGGGCTTTGCAGAGTTTATTGCCAAACTGTTCAGTATTCTGAAAACTATTCCCATTGGAGGGGTCAACGTGCCCAACGCTTGCTTCAACGACTGACCGATGTCCGGAAACAATAGCAGAATACTATAGTCCCCAACGGAGAGTTATTTGTAATGTACACTCTGTTTGGGTATCGTATTTTACAAGATAAGAAGAATGTAATCCTACTTGTTTCAGCCACCAAGCAGACGCTACTCTTGTAGGCTTCAACTGACTCGCGAGGTAGCCACTGGCATCTCGAAACCCTAAACTCGTAACCCTATCAAAGAATTTCCTAAATCCTGGCTCTTTCAAGTCTTGGGCCCATTCTGTTTGGATTGTGGAACATCCTGAAATTCACTGGCCGTCACCTCCAAACTGTCGACTTCCAAGCCATGTACCCTTATGAGACCAGAAATAACATACAGGCGCAGGAGAGGTATGCCTGGAAAGTTTTTGCATATGCAGTCTTGAAGATCTTGGTCGGATCAGCATGGGATCTGAGAACTAATGGTTCCTGCTTTTACTATTATTTTCTATTAACAGTATTATCACGATTATTCATACTATTTCTATTACTAGTACTATCAATGAACAGCCAAGCCCAAAGATAGATCACTCAACGTCTGGCACTCGTCGCTACTCCTACGAATCTAGAACCGAAGCCCCAAAGCCCACTGAAGACAGTAAGCTTAACCCATATACCATTATGAGGGTTTAGGTTTTAGGGTTTAGCGGTATACCCCTATGTAATCCCCATAGTAACCCCATGGTAGTTTCCACTTTATTTTCCATTCTCCCTAGGCAAACCCAATAAATACTCAATTTTACCTCCATTAAGGCCATCCAATGTGGAACCTTCGATTCCTGCTGTTTCCAAGGAGTCCTGCTGAAGGGTTTGGGAACCAGGGAGTTGGGATGCTCACCGCAATTAATTCACAGGTGGCGCTGGGAAGGTGCTTTGATACGGTGCATCTTCGGCAAGCTGCTTTTTCAGATCTAGGTTCTAAATTTTGTGCCTGTCCTTTGCAGTGCGAGACCGAGCAAAGGATGTTTACACAGTGGGGATAGGAGTGTGGGCTCGGGAAAGTGGGCTTGGGAAACATGCGTTGAGAAACATGTGTCAGCACTTTCTCGTCATCCAGTTGCATCAGCGACACAACGCAACGCCACGCAAAGCACGGAATCTTTCTTCCTCCGGTTATGGGTTCTCTTTCACGCGAGTGTTTTGGGTACGTAGTGTGCATAAACGCACAAGCGCCGCAAAGCAGTACCCCAGTGGTACTCCAACAGTGAATCTCAGACCAAAAGCCCAATCTTCAATCCCGTGACCTGCGCTGATGCCCCCGCAAGGAGGTGTTTAGAGCCTAAATAACTAGTTGCCAACATTATGGTGTTCAATAATGGAGAATCAAATGGGCAAGGACATGAAAACTGAACTTATATAGGGGTTCAAAGTTACATGCAACTATCGGGATTTGGAAAAAAAACCTTCTTGATACTGTCCCAGCTAGCCAGATTTAGCGCTCCCCTGTGATGACGTCAGTGGCGTTTTGAAGGACAAGACGTTTGATGACGCCCCTGCCGAAGAGGTGTCGGTTACGGAGCTTTCGGAGGGTCGGGATGATTCTCATCTTCTTGTGACCCGCTATCGCAGACTAAGCCTTTAACCCATTCACTGGGTTAAAGGCTTAGTCTGCAATGGCGAAAAATAAGCGTCCCAAAAGGATTGGATTGGCTGAGAAGTGCTTCAGTGAGCGTGGACAGGGTGAAGCATCCGTTCTTGACCAGTCAGTCTAGTCAGTTACATAGTCACTGACAAGCAAATGCTTACGTCCTGGGGGGTGTCGGAGATGATGGCACCGCGTAATGCTTAAGCCCTGAGCGATGTGGTGTTGAGTCGCACAGGATACCGTCCCAATGCTGTACGTAGTGCAGAGTCATGATCTTGTATCCGTCCGCGTCCAGTGGCTCAGCCCCATACCCTCCACAAGAATGTATTTGCCTTCCCACATACTGCTCAGCGGACTGCTTCCAACAGGAATTCTCATTTCCCTCCCCCACGGCTCAAAGGTTTTCAAGTCGTACAAAATCTGGGCCGTCTCGGCTCCTATTTGGTAGTTTGCATAAATCAGGAGACATCAATGTAAACCCCAATGTATTTTAGTCGTTCCCCAACAAGATACCTCTCGGGAACCCTTAAACCCCCTGAACCCTAAACCATACATATCCCTCGTAGTCCCTGGAAAAGGTACCCCTTTTTTTGGGAAACCCCCATAAAGGCCCCCCATAAAGGTATTGTGGGCCTGTAGTGGACCTCCAACCCTAAACCCTAAATCCTAAATCCTAAACCTTTAGTTGCTACAAATAACCCAACTGGAACTGGTAACTATAACCCAATTATAACCATACTAAGGGACTTCAGGGGGCTCATAGCTCGGATATAAGTACGGTTATAGTCGGGCTTTAATTACCCTAGGCCCCCAAGTAGGCAGCTTTGGTCACGTTCCGCCTGCAGTCTGAAAGTCCTGCTTGCTCACGAACCCTGCATGCCCATCAAGCCACCACCAGTGAGATCCGAAAGTGTTGACTAGGTTGTGAAATCTTGCAATGCTTGTGCACCAGGGCACTCACAAACCCTCAGAGCCCTTGAAGCCACAACACTTTTCGACAAAGAATGTCCAAAGTGAACGGCCGAGCCCAATTGCACTCAACAACCCGAAGCCTTTGAGAGGTCGTCTGCGAAGCAACGCCGCCGTGCAGCATGTAAACGGTTCATGGGTTTTGTGTTCAAGGCTTTGGAATGCCTTAGAGCTGCTGGTTGTGAGCATTAAGGGCTTATGATTGCATGCAGCTCTTGCGGCCCTGCAAACGTTCGGGTTTTGGGTTATAGAAACCTAAATAGTTACCAATACACTGTGGTCCTAGAAATTCTTGTGCAAGTATGGCCTAGGGCATCTGAAATAGACCTCAACACGGTTTGGGTAAGTATATCTAGCCCCCTACAATAGATTTTTGGGATTTGGCAACTCTCCAGGCTTCAGGATCATTGGGATAATATTAAGGTTATATTGGGGATATATTGGGATAATGGAAAATATAATGGAAGCTACTATAATGGGGTTATATAGGGTTTAGGGATTAGGATTTAGGTCTGGCGTCCTTACAGTTCACGGCTTGGATGAACCAGTAACGTGACGGGTTGTCCAGAGTTTGTCGAGTCTTTCTGAATTTAATATAGTACACCTGAATGTCTTGCTTTGAAGCACTGGCAGCAACAAGCATCCCCAACCCATAAAAAACGATACTGGCAATTATCCCTCGAAACCCTTCTACAATCCCAGTCTCCATTTAATTTTGTGTCTTCTTTTCATTTGATTCTCCATCAGTTTAGGCTTCAGATGTCTCCCGGCATGATGGCTGTATCTGAGAAGTTTCTTAAAGCCTGAGCCTTCCAACATTTCCCGACTCTACATGTCAACCGTAGATTGCCACATGGTGTTGGGTAAAGGGATAAGTTCAAATCTAGGGTCTAGGATTCAGGGTATACCTAGGATGAAATCACATCTTTAAAAAACGAAAAGACCTCAGAAGGCTGCCTGGAAATGAGTAGCCGTCAGCTCAGGACCTTCAAGCCTGAAGCCAGGTACCCCAATTACATCAGAAGCAACATACTAGCGAAGAAGATGTGCTGCTGCAGACTGAGCAGTTTCTCAGGCGAGCACAGGATCCTGAACTGCCAAGCCTAAACGCATGACACTTAATGCTAGACACCAGTCCCGGGAATCTGGAAACATCAGTCCCACAGACCATCTCAATGATAAGGACATCCAACGGCGAACCATCGCACGCTGCTGTCTCCAAGGAGTCCTGGATTTGAGTCTGAAGAGATGTTGATTTAAGGTCTAGATTTGGTGGAGGTCACTGCATGAAATTACGGGTTGCACTGCGGAGGTATTGCGTTTGGGAACATCTTTAACAGGCTACGATTACAACAGAAAAGATCTAAGTCTCCCAACCTACGCATTATTTACAAGAGAGTCTACAACGCGGAACAAAGACGGTCAACGAAACCAAAATAGGATTGTATCCTTTGAGAAAACTTACCTACAAAAACACGTGTCATCATATGATCTCATCTCAACCCCGACACAACCTGTAAAATCTTACTACCCAAAGCCTGATCGCCAATAGATAGCAATGTAGCACGCCACAAGAAGCCTTTGAGCAAAACATGGAAGATTTGCATGTCTCGTAGACTTCATTGAATTGGCATGAGAGTTTCCTGGTTTGGTTCCCACCACCGAGACGTCCTTAAGCACTGAACCCTATACTATAACATACTATAGTGTATTATACTGTAATGTTTTATAATGTACTATGATATATTAGAATGTATTATATATAATGTACTATAACATATTGTAGTATATTATACTTCATTCCCTACCCCTAAACCCAAAAAAACCATCATCCTGAGAGGACGTCAGTGACCATCTGGAGGAAGAGGCATCTGATGTGACCCCTGCTTTGGAGGAGTGCAGGGAAGGGCGGGGGGATCGGGGCTAACGTTGAACCTAAACCCTTAACCTTCGACCGATGGACCCTAAACCTCGCTAGGTTATAGGGTGGCACGTACCTACCTTCTCAGACTCACGCACAACATAGCCGAGCTCGAAGCATGCATCCTTTTCTGACCTGACTTCTATACAAGGATATAGCAGTACTAAAAAAAATCAGATGGAAAAGAACATGGAAAATTGCATGAAGCCTGGCGTTATCTATGTGCTCTACGAGGATAGGATACACTTCGGTTCTCTGGCTCTTTGCGGGGACTGCTCTGTCTTGTCACTGTTAGCCAGATCTTGCCCGACGGATCCTTTCCTCCTTCGTTTGCGCGGTTTAGGGTTTAGGCTTGGGAATCAAATCAGGGATTTTGGCATGGCCTGAATGCCTGAACAGGCATTCGCCCTTAATCGAAGACCCGTCGCATCCATTCTGCACCCTACACCCTCTAACTCTAAATCCTAAACCTCCTGAAGCCCTAAAACATAACGACAATGCCCCAAGGCCTGCCCGACTGGATCTCCTGGACTTGATCCTGAGCCCTAAGCCCTAAACCCTAAACCCTAAACCTTAAACCCTACCCTTAAGCCTCCACAAGTGAGATTCCTACCTTGCAGTGCTCATCTGCCCCTTTTTTTCGATTATGATGATTGTTATTATTTATGCCTGTTGCTATCCTTATTTTGATGTCTTTGGGTATGACGGTTATTATGATTATACTTTTATTCCGTAGTACTATTACTATTGTTATTGTTGTTATTTTTAATTATTGCTAGTTCTTAATATCATAATGGTCATTGTTCTTTTTTCATGTGCCAGGTTTCAAGTTTTGCACAAGGCCCTCGCAGGCCAGCACACCTGTACCCAAAGACATGAAAGCTAGTCTAAACTCCTGAAAGGCTGGTTATATGGGGGGTTATCTAGGAGAGCTGTATGGGGATTACCAAGGGGGATACTTGGATTTAAGACTATGGGTCACATGAGGGTTTTCATAAGCAGAGGGCCTCAACACGGTCACGATGCTGGCCTCTAATTTTGAGTCCTAAATCCGCGTAAGCTACATAATTTCAATTTCCATGTCATTTTCCAGATCTAGTTGCATTTCATTTTCCATTATTTGGGTAATATGCCTAAACCCCAAGCTTATCAGAAAGAGTTTGAGAGGACGTTGGCGAGACCATGTCGCCGGGCCGCAGACGTTTGAGAATCCCAATAAAGACCCCAAACCTACCGCTTAGGGTTTCGTGGATTTAGTTCTAAGAAGCCATGCCGATGCCCCTGCAACCTTGAAACCTTCAAGTTTCAGCTTGCAGTGCATGGTTCTGATTGCGAGCAGTGGGGTACATGCTTCGAGGAAGATTGGCGCCATGCCCAGCAGAATTGGGGGTGGCTGCAAGCATGTCAAGGTCGAGCGATTGAAGGATTCTCCAGGCTTCCTGTTTCGGAGTTTCTCATATCTGGTGAACTGAAGCTGGCCTGTATTTGTTTGGGGAAAACAGCTCATGCAGAGCAAGATTTCATCTTCCTGTTGGGTAGAGTATTCTTGCAAGAAGAGCATGCTTTTACTGGATTGCTGTTAAGGAACTTACATTAAGTTACTATATTAGGGAAACCCTATTATTTACCGTATATACCCATTGTGGTAACTCAATTTAAGTTCCTTAACAGCAACCCAGTTTACTGGGTTCAACCTGGTGCATCTGAGTCTGAGGCCGGCCCAGGTCCAACTCTTAGCTTCCCCTGTTTTTCGGCGAGGCTAAGCAGTGAAGTGCTCTCTTACAGCGAGTGTCTGGGTAGGCCCCTGGGATATATAATGTTTTTCCTAATGGCTTTAATAGGGGACCCTATATATTAATGTTTTTCAAAGGGTTTTAGGGGCCAACCCAGGTGTTTAGGATTATGGCCCAGGGAGTTATTGCATGAGGCGGGTCAGATGAAGAATGGATGACTTCATCTACAAAACTTTATCGTGTCAATTGTGATGAATTGCTATGAACCAATGAAGTTGGCTTGCCTTGCCACATCCATGACGATCAGTCTGTACAAGATTGTACAAATGCCGCCAGGAAGAAAAGTGCAACAGTCTGCGAGAATTACCAAGGGTGGATCCCAGCCTTGTCAACCAAACGCAGCTAACCTTGGAGCCAAGACCCTTTGGAAGTGGTCCATGCCTGTAGATGTTGCATGGAATCAAAATGGCAGATTCTTCTTTTTGCTATTCCGCCAACCTAGGCTTACATCTGCGAGAGCGCGGCCATGGAGCGTGGAGAGGTGAAGTATTTTTTCTTATGGGTTCACGGAAGAGGTAGCACTCTCGGGAATTCCTAACTCAGGTTTTGCCATGCGGCTTTCCCTACAGTTGGAAAATGTACTTCAATAGTCAAGGTATGGTATAGGGTTGAAAGGTTCCTGAAAATTGTGAACGGTTTTTTGCTATACTCGTCCATGAAGGGCCTAGAATTTTGGCTCATAGCTGAGAGCCTTGGACAGAAAGATTCAAGCCCATACAAGTTGTACTGTATGGGCGTTTCAGAAAATGAGGAGTCCCTTGTTTGGGCTTCTCATGAGAAGGATTCTCGTATTGTGCTGTATAAAAGGTGTCTTTACCCATCTCTTCTCCGGATTCACCTAGTCAATTGAGTGCATTCTCAAGACATGAAGTCGGGGCTAAATTGGAGGGCCAGAAACTTCCACTCCGCACACACGCTTTCAGCTGAGAGTGCCAAAGTCCTGTTTGACTTGGCTCCCTGGGCCTGAGCCCTAAGGTCCTAAATAATAACCCCCATTACAGTAGTTTCCATTTTTCTTTTCCATTATCCATATATATCCCCTAAATACAGTAATAATAAATAATAATAAACAAGCCCCCGAACCCTGCATCCTCAAGCCCACCTCATAATGCTGACTAGGTTTTGCAACCTTGCAACGCTAAAAGGTCCAAATCCTCTCATGAAGTCCCAATGGCCCTTAAGCCCAAACCCTGAGAAGGAAAACCTAGTCCGATCCCAAAACCAAAATCAGTGGGAGGAAGTTGGCACAAAGCTACCGGGTTGCAAATGTTTCTTGCTTCTTTTTTTTTTTTGCGAAGTGGAGGAGTGAGTCTGGGAACTGCCCTTTAAAGGGGCTTATAGGGGTTATGTAAAGGGGCTTATAGGGGTTATGTAAAGGGGCTTAGAGGGGTTATGTAGGTCTTTTTATAGGGGTTATATAGGGATTATATAGGGATAATGGAAAAGAAAATGGAAACGATTGTAAGGGATTATATAGGGTTTAACTGTTTGGGGAGTATGGAGATCCATGCCCCTTTTCTATCCTGAGGATTTACAAGGTCTAGCAGGTTGCAAGTTTCCTTTGTCTGGACATCAAACATCCCAGCTGAACCCAGTGCGAACTGCACTTAGCAGGTTCCAGCACGGTGCATGTTAGGGTACAGGTTTTCAGGTCGAGGGGTGATGGCTTTGGATTTTGGAATTAGTTCAGGGAGGAGTTCTTCGCAGCTTTCAGGTAGCAGAACCTTGTCACAAAGCATCTGCCCGCTTGGAGCTCATAGACTCGTAATGGTTCCTCGTAACCAAGACATGACATCCCTTTTTTGCTACCAGCAATTACACAGGTATCAGTGAAAATGATCTTCCATGTGGAACCCTAAACCCAACGAACCAGCCCTGAAATTGTAGTGGTAGGGTAGGCCTTGACGGACGCCCGTCGATACCCTGCTCTGAGCCTGCTCAACCTCTGTGGGAATCAGCCTTCAAAACCTTCTCTAGAACACCTGCATTTATCCTGAAAAAAACATGAAACTCAGTAGCCGTCAGCTCTCTTAGAAGCCCGTAGCAGCTACGATGTGCCAGAAGCAGCATGTGTGTTCTTGTGGTCTTTGAGCCTTCAGTTCTGGAAGTGTTAGTTGGCTGAGCATGGGATGATGTGTAGCCAAGCATAATCTCAGATCACTGAGGGCTAGTCCCTTCCGCTCCGGACCCCGAAGCACCTACATATATAGTTCCCCTTAACTAGATATAATATGTGGTATATGAGGATCTTATTATCACATACCCAAAGCCATATTCTATTTACTTAAGGGGTACTATGGCTCATGACAGTCATCACGCCCAAAGAGCTAGGGGCCTCTAAAGGCGAGTCGTCGAGTGCTGGCTCCGCCATCGCGCCCGAAGAGACAGGGACGTCCAAATTCGAACCGTTGCGTACAGTCTCCGAGGAGCCCTGGATCCGGGTTGAAGCCTCAGGGTTCACATAGGGTTCACCTAGAGTTCATATAGGGGTCATATAGGGGTAGATACTGTAGGTGTTATATGGGGTTGTATTATAGGGGTACTTTTGGCGTTAATGAGGTCTAGGGTAATAAGAACCCAATGGGTGATTAGTGGACCGTGCCAAGGATGAGCATACCTCGCAGCACTTTCTGTCAAATTGTTTCTAAACTTTAGTGAACCCAAAGGCTACAACCTAAGCTTACATCCTAGACTGTCAGATTCTTCCTACATCTAACAACCAAACTTTAGGGTGTGCTGTGATTGGTCTCGTAGCCAGGAAGGCCAAAAAGGGAAGTGCAGCATCTTCAGCAAAGCTTGAGCGATGAACCCTTGACATCCCTGATGGAATTGATTGCAACCTCAAACCCACTGCGTTGGCCTTATCTGGGGGGAGGTCAGTGACTCCTTCAAAGAAAGCACGGTTGATGGCTAGCGGTTGATGGAGGAGTGGATTGAGCGATAAGGGGGGGGGGTTAGGAATTCAAGAAGCGAGAGGCCCAATCTGCACTCAAAGATACTAACCTAGACCCATGATTAACAAACCACCTCCTTTTAAGGGCCTCGATTTTAGGATCCCTATTCAAGTCGCTATAAAGGGGAGGGGGTTTATTAATCAGGGGTCTACATTCGCCCTGTGGACTTGATTCAGTGCCAGTATCCAGCATGGAATGTTCGGTATTGTAGGACATGGCCTTCAGAAGAATGGACCAACCTTTCATCAATGTTTCATAGAAGTTCATCGAAGCATCTTATAATGATGCGTGGAGCTTTGCTGGGGTGGCCGGATTGCGAGATGCGTGCAAAGCTTTTTGTTGTCAGCTCGGTTTCTAGTTTTAACGTTGAAACCCAGCTAAAATGCCCAACGTTTCCCATCGCATCTCTAGTTGAGCCTTAGTGCATGAGATGTGTTATCACAAACTTTACCTACAAAGCTCCAAAATCCTGTTTTTTTTGAAGCAGTGCTGAATTAGTAGTTTCGCTATTTTGGGGACCCCAATACAGACTTGGCAGCATATGTCGCGGCGTCAGGTCTGCATCTGAAGTCCAGCAACTGATAGGTGTGCTGATTTATTCTTCCCACCCGTCCTTGCACGGGTATCAAACCAACTGTAATCCTTTTCGGTTTTCTGGCTGGCGTCCCAAATTACCATTCAAAATGGGTTCCAAAACACTGCTTGGAGCAAATTGGCTCCAAAAGGCCCAAATTGGCAATATTGGCTCCAGGAACCCAAAAAGTCGAATAGATGTACCCTAAACCCTAAACCTAAAGCTGCGAGGAAACGTCTCGAGGCGAAGTTCCCGGAGTGTTTGGCAGCTCTGAGCCAAGTCGCATGGCTTCGGCTTTTAGGGTTTTAGAGATTAGGGTTTTAGGGGTCCTGGGGTTTTTAGGGTTCTTAGGGGTTAGGGGTTTGGGAAGTTTAGGGTTTTAGGAGTTTTAGGGTTTTACGGTTTGAGGGTTTCACGGGTTTGGGCTCTAGGGTGTAGAGCCTTTGTGGTCCCAGGTCATGCAGTCCATTCGTCCGACAAGACGACCAGGCATGGATGTGAGCGTGTCTGTTGAATCGGGAAAGGCTGAAGCCCAACTAGTTTCCATAGGTGTGTCCTTGCCCCTAAGCACTAAACCTCAAACCCTCGTGGGTTCGTCCTCGGTGGTTTACAAGCCTGGGGCCTGATACACTTACAGGGTCCAGGATCACTTCAGGGCGTTGGGCTTGTGGTTTGTGTCTTGAGGGTTTTGGGCAGCACTCAGCGCAGTGTATGATCAGAGGTCTGATAAGGGCCCCCTGAGGAGCCCCTCAAACCAAAGCTTTTAATTGGGGGCTTTAGGGGTTTAGGGTTTAGGGATTAGGGCTGTTGGGGTGCATATAATGGTTCCAAGCTATGAGGGGCTATTGGGACCTATTGTCGGGTTTTGATTGGGGGGGACTCCTTAAAGGAAGCCCCTTGTCAACCCTAAACCCTGAACCCTGATCCCTTTACCCTAAAGCTTCGACCCTATACCCTAAACCTATGATATGAAAAGCTTCAGACTCAGACTCGTCGGCTTTTTATTTGAACGGGCTTGCGGCCAACTTGGACCTGACCGTTCCCTACTATTTTTTTTCCTGGGCCCACCAGATACAACCTAGAAGTGACAAGAATGACGCTGGATAGAATGTGGAAATCCAAAGTCTTGGTTTGCTGGGTCACGCTCAACCTTGAATCTCGCGTGAAATTTTGCAAGTATTGAAACATTCCTTCCAGGAGAATTGCAGGCGTCCTCTTTGGTTAAATATTGAAAAGATTCACTAAGACCCCTCAGCCCGAAACCCAAACCCTAACCCCTAAACCTTAAACCCTATCCGCGTGGCTCAGGCATGCAGCTGTCGCAACAGACTCTTGGATGTCAGCCTTACTATTGCTGCGAATTGCAACGATTACGTTTGATTACATCGTACGCTAATGCCAGTGTTTTTCTCAGGTATAGTCCTTGTCTGGTTTGAGGTTTTCATCATACAAGGGTGCAAAATCATGCTGGCAAGCTGAGCACCCAAGGGTTCGAGAAAGAAGCCATGGACAGCTAGTTGAGAGCATTTCAAGCCCTTCAACAAAAACGGTACAGATTTTAGAGCTAGTTCCAGCCGAAGACTAAGGTGTGAATTCAGGCAGAGACATGTTAGACAACGCAGGTCAACTCCTGAGTCTTATCCCACGTCTCACCCACAAAAAGGTGAAGGGTAAGGAAGATCACCTTCTCTTGCTCCAGTGGTTCAGGGGGTATGGGGTTAGATCTTATCCCCTTTTGCTCCCCTGAGGTTAGGGTTTAGGGGTTGCAGGGTTTTTGCCCTACATGAGAAGTCTCGCTGAGGAGGTCAGCGACCTTGACGCCGAAGGGCAAGCTGACAGCATTCCCACCAAGGAAAACATGACATTTGGGGTCCCTATTTGGGCGCTCCTATCATAAGAGCTATTTTTTGAGGTCTATGATGGCATCTCCCTGTTTAATGAAACTACCACATGGGTATTTAGAAGCAGGGTCCCCGTTTGGGAGTTTCTTGAACATGGGTTACAGAATTTTGGGGTTTGTAAGGAGCACCCCTAGTGTCGGACAACAGGGTGCCTCATATACTGCACGACTTCTGAAACCTTGTTTCATGGACTCCCAGAACTAGAACCTCAATTTTTGGAAATTCATTCACACCAGAGTGGCGAGGGTGTGGATCCAGGAAATGAAGCATCAGCTGTAGACTCCGGTGATTTTTGCCGAGATCTTTAGCCTACACTAGATGAGGGCGGTGGCTTCGAGCCTGGCAACTTGAAGAAGATTTCCATAGGTGATACCCGGAAGAGACTCATGCCTTCCTTAGAACATCAAATTGCAGGACGCTTGTGCCAAGTTTCACGTGCATTGTTCCGTAATTGCAGGAGCTGATGCCTGGACCTCAAACCCTAGGCAACCCAACACAACCCAAAATCTATTCTTAACCATCCGTTGAAAAGAGATTTTACCTGTTCAACTTACATGACTCCTACATCTCCACAATCCCTCTAAAGGGACTTAAGTTCCTGTAGAAGCTATCCGCAGGAGCTGATGCGTGGACAGCAAGTGCTGCTGTCCGGCTCGCTTTCGCACAGCCATGGCAGCGGCTCTGGTGTTCCTGTGGTGGCCCAGGTAAACGAGCCTGAGTTGCTTAGTTTAGGGTTTAGGGTAATTTCTCTGCAGGGTTTACAGGCGGGATTATACAGGGGTTGTGTAGGGTTTGGGGTGCTACCACACTGGGGACTCAAATGGAACAGGCACTGGACAATGAAATGGAAGCCGGAGCAAGATAGGATAATACAGATAAGGAATTTGCTCTAAGCTACCGTTATCAGGCAGCCATGCTATTTACCTTATCTCCATAGTCAGGTGTGGTCCCTAAACCCTAAACCCTAAGCACCGTAAACCCCCAAACCCCTAGACCCTAAACCCCTAAACCCTAAACCCTTTAGTTCCTCCACAGAAGCCCAGGAGCTTGACGCGGGAGGGATGGTACACATCAGACTGTCCGATCAGCAGCTCGCATGGGTCAACCAGAAGAACGTGCAGCCGGACCAGGCTTGGGCTTAAACCTTAAACCCCTAAACCCTAAACCCTAATCAGGCCGGGGCGGTTGCACGTATAAGATCCCCAGTTCTTACCCTGAACTGTAAGCCTGAAGCCCCCAACCCTAAACCCTCAAAGCGCAAGCACTGGGGAGGTTGTAAGACCCACTAAGTCCAAGGCATGGGAATCAAAAGGTGAGCATGCGAGGCTGGGTTTGTTGAGGGTATGCTGGGCTTAGGGTGACATGTGTTTAAGGTTTAGGGTTTGGGGTTTGGGTAAGGGATATACTTGTGGAGAACTGGAAGTAAAACCAAATGGAACATTAAAAATCCGACTGGGATGATGTAGGGGTTTGTAGGGATATTTACCCTGTGTAGACATTAGGGTGTTCAGGGTTGAGGTCATGACCTTTGGTGGAAGCTTTCCTTACGGTTTAGGGTTGCCAGCTCCTATTCCTGTCAGGCTGTTCGTGCTGAACTTGATGCATCTGGAATCTTGGAAGCTCGGGCCCTGGCAACATTATCTC